GAAACGATGCACATGCGGTTGTCAAACGTTAGCAATCGGGTTGTAAGAAATGGGTATTATGGCAACCGACTGCATTCTGGTCTTCGTGCCGGGCCAGTCTTGAGTCCGACGGGGTTGCCTGCTCAACCGCGGCAAGATTGCCGACAGGTGAATCCACAGGATGGATCGGCTTGACGACACGAGCACAACTGGCCACAAGTGGACAGACGAACTGAAAGGTCAAGCAGCACGAATAAGAGATCGCGTCAGCCTGGGTCGGATAAGAATAGGAAAGAATGATGGTTGGACGGCATTCTTCCTGTTCCGTTTAAAATGATGAATTGTCTCAAATAGTATTTGTCGTCTTGGTCCTAATTACAGTCGGTTTTCTTGACTTTTTTTCTGAGTCTTTCTCTTTTTTTCTACAACAACACAAAAAGCTCATCAACCGACCATGAGCAATCGGAGTGATGGTTAAAATGTAAATACAACTTGAAGGTTGATGACAGAAGATACTTTCTGTTATAAACACTTGGAACCATTAGTGCCGGTTTTGTTCGTATGCGAACACAGGATCAGACACACACGCACACCCACACACACACAAACACAGATATACTCGTTAGCTTCGAGGTTGGAATATGATGTGAACTAACCAAATCACTCTCTATCTTATCAAAGAGCTTAAATTTAGAGTATATATACAGCAGTTAGGGATAAGCCTGCGAGTGTTTTTTATTCATCAGCATGAATAGAATTGTCAAGATGACATCTTATTTGTATTATTCGTATGTAGGTAGACTGATTTACTGGTAGTCTCGAAACTCGACTATACTTGTATTGTCTATAAAGCAAACATGTATTGCCACGAAAATTGAGAAGCTTACTTATGTCCGATATAAGTAATTTTCGAGAGTATTAGTCATTCTTGAATATGGCACTTAAAATTGAGTTTTTCCACAATCGGATGAAAACATGATAAGCTTTCTTCCGTCGTATGACTGACATAATAAAAGTAATATGACATGTATTCACCATATTTCGTTTATGTGATGAAGGACTGGTTGTAAAATTTGCCCACAATCATATCAGAAGAGCTGACGTTTCTATTTAATTTCACATAACGTGTCAAGCTCCCATTCTGCATTGTCACGGTTCGACTCCCGCTGGGGATGTTGATATGACCGATGCGAGGTCGAATCTGCAGTCCACTCCAGCCGGGATGAGAACAACTTTTTGGAAAGCAAGGAAATGTGAAATTGAAGGGAAACTTCAGCTCCAATCATATGATTGTGGGAAAATTCTACTACCAGTCCTTCATCACTTTAAACAAAATTAGGTGAATGCATCTCATACTACTGATTTACTGGTAGTCACGAAAACACTACTTAATTCGAAAAAAATAAAGTATAGTAACGAGCTGTATTCCTACTCTAATACAATTAAAGTATAGTAGTTGATTGTTAAATTCACATCATTGTGGAAAAATTCTTCTTCTACCAGTCCTTCATCACCTTAAACGAAATTGGGTGAATACATATCATACTACTGATTTACTGGTAGTCACGAAAACAAAACTTTATTCGAAAAAATAAAGTATAGTAGTCGATTGTTCAACTCACATCATTGTGGGAAAATTCTTCTTCCTACCGTCCTTCATAACCTTAGACGAAATTTGGTGAATACATTTCATACTACTGATTTACTGGTATTCACGAAAACACTACTTAATTCGAAAAAAATAAAGTATAGTAATAAGCTGTATTCCTACTTTAATACGAATAAAGTATAGTAGTCGATTGTTAAATTCACATCATTGTGGGAAAATTCTTCTTCTACCAGTCCTTTATCACCTTAAACGAAATTAAGTGAATACATCTCATATTACATTTACTATGTCAGTCATACGACGGAAGAAAGCTTATCATGTTTTCACTGAAATCGAAGGCGATTGCCTCGGAACTGTGTAAATAAAAATGCCCCATTAAATCCAATCGACGCCTGGCCAAGAGTAATCCGCCATCATCTTCTGCTGGAACCGACCTTCGAATCTCTTTACCAAACACTTTCACTCGAAATGGAAACGAGCTCGACAGTTGATATTTCCCACAATCCTTTGAGTTGGCCTTATGCCTCCATTGAATTTCTCATTAATTTGTTCTGCAAGAAGGTATTCTCATCCAAACTTGACCGGACTATAATTGAGACAAGATCTCTTGGTGATCTCGAAATCTTCTTATAAAACGTGACTAAGTGATTGTTGAATTTGAGATGTATTCACCCCATTTCGTTTGAGGTGATGAAGGACTGGTATAAGAAGAATTTTCCCACAATCATATGAGTTGAGCTGACGTTTCCATTCAA